AATACGCAAAGACCACTGAAAGAAAATGAGGATTTGGAAATTGAGAATAAAAGTAACAGAAAGCCGGCAGCCTGGAATCACTAGAGAGTGGCCAGTCTCCAGAATCCTGGGGTGGCAGGATTGTGAGTAGAATCTGGCAATTCTCAATTGTAAATATAGCTATTTGTGAATGGAGAAGCTTATTTGGTAAATAGATCAGAATTTTTCATATTAATAAAAGCTGTCACTGTAGTCATTAAAGAAAGATGTTTTCTCAGTATAATTACCAATAATAATGGGTAACAACAAGGCCCCTTGCCTCCTTTACCAAGTTTAAAACTGGGTTTGTTAAAAGTTCATGAGAGTATTTTGGCTAATAATGAAGAAATGAGAGAATGGGAATATCACCATTTTCTAACTTCTAATGAATTAATAGGTCTAGCCAATATTATCAATGGCTACTAATTTCACCAAAAAAATAATAAATAAATAAATAAAAATAAAGGCCTCTATAATGCTGTCTGGCCATAATAACTAACCAAAAACATTCCAACATAAATATGATCAAGTCCATTTAGCTACCAATTTATAGGAAATACATGGTTCAAAGGAATACCCTATAGGAATGCAATCAGCAAAATCTAGACTGAGAATCTGCAAGGTAAATGACCTGCTTTCTTTAATAAAGAAATTGGAAGGAAAATTATTGGAGGGCCCAGCATATACACCTGGCCAATACAGTAGTCAGTAGCTACATGTGGCTATTTTAAGATTGATTAGAATTCAATTAAAAAAGAAGAAGGGCAGCCCGGGTGGCTCAGCGGTTTAGCGCCGCCTTCAGCCCAGGGTGTGATGCTGGAGCCCCGGGATCGAGTCCCACGACAGGCTCCCTGCATGGAGCCTGCTTCTCTCTCTGCCTGTGTCTCTGCCCCTCTCTCTGTGTCCCTCGTGAATAAATAAATAAAATCTTTAAAAAAAAAAAAAAGAAAAAGCATTTCCTCAGTTGCACTAGCATCGTTTGAGGTGCAATGCAGAATTTCCATCGGACAGCAATACCACAGACAAACAGGCATAGGATCTCTGTGCATTGCATAGACTTTTTTGGATCCCAGTTCCAGAAAATAGGCTTTAAACTGTTAAGTAAATGGGAAATTTGAACTGACTGGATAGTTGATGACATCAAAGAATTATTATTATTTTTTAAAGATTTTATTTATTTATTCATGAGAGACACACAGAGGGAGACAGAGAGAGAGAGAAATGGAGAGAGACAGGCAGAGGGAGAAGCAGGCTCCATGCAGGGAGCCTGACGTGGGACTGGATCCTGGGTCTCCAGGATCACGCCCTGGGCTGAAGGCGGCGCTAAATCACTGAGCCACCCGGGCTGCCCTCAAAGAATTATTTTTTTAAAAAGGATATGTGATGATGATACTGTAGTTATCATTTTTTTTAAAAAAAGACTCCTTATATATGTAAGAGATACTTACTGAAATAGATGAAATGGTATCTGAGATTTGCTTTTAAGTAAATTGGCTATGAATATTTTGAATATGGTTGAAATTGGGTGATAGGGACAATGAGCGTTCCTTAAAATTGTTCTCTTTCTTTTGTACAGGTTTGCCTCTTTCTATAATGAGATGGTTCTCTATTTTATGTATGTTTGAAACTGTCCTTAATAACATACTTTTTAGTTTTTTTGTTTGTTAATGTTATTATTTTAAAAAGTATATGAGCAGGGCACCTGGCTCACACAGTTGGTGGAGCATGCAGACTCTTGATCTCCAGGGTTGTGAGTTTGAGTTCCACTTTGGGTATAGAGATTACTTAAAAATAAAATCCTTAAAAATAAATAAATAAATAACATATGAGCAACTAGCTGCCTAAATATGACTACCTGGGTATTGCTAATTTTCCCTTCTTTAGTAGCAGGAGCACTGAAATCATTTCTCTTCTCCTAACAGTTCAATGCACCCAAAACACAGGCCATCAGTGTCTTTAAAAGATGTTATATAGACTCTCCTCTCTCCCAACCTCTCTTCACCTGGAAAACATGAAGAGGAAAGAGAATCTCAAAAGTAGAAAAGTGTGCATCCTCTCCACTACTCTCCCAGCATGTGAAAGGACAGATCCCAGGAATTTTCTGGGATAGTAGGCTAACAAGAAGAAACCAGGAGACAGGGATGCCTGAATGGCTCAGTGGTTGGCATCTGCCTTTGGCTCAGGTCATGATCCCGGGGTCCTGGGATCGAGTCCTGTATGGGTTCCCCACAGGGAGCCTGCTTCTCTCTCTGCCTGTGTCTCTGCCTTTCTCTGTGTGTCTCTCATGAATAAATAAATAAATTTTTTTTAAAAAAGAAGAAGCAGCCAGAAGACGGGTGCTCTTCATAGATTACCATGGTAGGCATGGTTGGTGGTGGTGTGCCATCTTTGGGGAGCTTACTAAAGTTACATTCATCCTTTTGAATATGATTCTTTTTTTTAAAGATTTTTTTAATGGATATATTGAACTCAAGTTGGAAGAGGCGAGTCCAGTCTCAGAATGGAGGTAAAACCACCGCCCCGTCACCCCCAGCCTGACTTCGGCCATCACTGCCGCCACCAGGGGGAGGAGGGCCATGATCCAAAGGAACCAGAGCAGTTGAGAACACTGTTTATTGGTGGTTTGAGCTTTGAAACTACAGATGATAGTTTAAGAGAACATTTTGAAAAATGGGGCACACTTACAGATTGTGTGGTAATGAGAGACCCCCAAACAAAACGTTCCAGAGGTTTCGGTTTTGTGACTTACTCTTGTGTTGAAGAGGTGGATGCAGCAATGTGTGCCCGACCACACAAGGTTGATGGGCGTGCAGAGGAACCAAAGAGAGCTGTTTCTAGAGAGGATTCTGTAGAGCCTGGTGCCCATCTAACAGTGAAGAAAATTTTTGTTGGTGGGATTAAAGAAGATACAAAAGAATATAATTTGAGAGACCACTTTGAAAAGTATGGCAAAATTGAAACCATAGAAGTTATGGAAGACGGGCAGAGTGGAAAAAAGAGAGGATTTGCTTTTGTAACTTTTGATGATCATGATACAGTTAATAAAATTGTTGTTCAGAAATACCACACTATTAATGGGCATAATTGTAAAGTGAAAAAGGCCCTTTCTAAACAAGAGATGCAGTCTGCTGGATCACAAAGAGGTCATGGAGGTGGATCTGGCAACTTCATGGGTCATGGAGGAAACTTTGGAGGTGGTGGTAATGTTGGCTGTGGTGGAAACTTTGGTGGAAGAGGAGGCTATGGTGGTGGAGGTGGTGGCAGCAGAGGTAGTTATGGAAGAAGTGATGGTGGATATAATGGATTTGGAGGTGATGGTGGCGACTATGGTGGTGGTCCTGGTTATGGTAGTAGGTGGTGGTGGACCAGGATATGGAAGCCAAGGAGGTGGATATGATGGTGGTGGTGGAAGATATGATGGTTACAATGAAGGAGGAGATTTTGGAGGTGGTAACTATGGTGGGGGTGGGAGCTATAATGCTTTTGGAAATTATAGTGGACAACAGCAATCAGATTATAGACCCACGAAGGGGGGCAGTTTTGGTGGAAGAAGCTCAGGCAGTCCCTATGGTGGTGATGTTATGTATCTGGTGGTGAAAGTGGTGGATATGGTAACAGAAGGTTCTAAAAAAATCAAGAAAAGGGCTACAGTTCTGAGCAGGAGAGAGAGAGAGGAGTTGTCAGGAAAGCTGCAGGTTACTTTAAGACAGTCGCCCCAATTACATTAGAGGAACTGTAAAAAATCTGCCACGGGAGGAATGATGATCCATGGTCAGAAAAGTTACTGCAGCTTAAACAGGAAACCTTGTCATAGCTACAGTTTGCAAAAAGTGCAGCTATTAATTAATGCAATGTAGTGTCAATTAGATGAACATTCCTGAGGTCTTTCATCTGTTGTAGCTTTTTCTTTTTCTTTTTCTTTTCATTACATCAGGTATATTGCCCTGTAAATTGTGGTGGGTGTACCAGGAATAAAAAATTAAGGAATTTTTAACTTTTCACTGTTTGTGTAGTTCAGTTTTTCTACATTTTAGCAGAAGCTTTAACAGAATGCAGTTTTGAAGGTGTTTCCTTGTGAGTTAACAAGAAGATCATTGTTAATTTTGTTAAAGTTAACTATAAAGAAATACCTGTTGACTTGAAATTTAAGGGAAATCTATTATCCGCATTTCCATTAATTTTTTTTAAAATTTTTTATTTATTCACAGAGATGCAGAGAGAGAGAGAGAGGCAGAGACACAGGCAGAGGGAGAAGCAGGCTCCACGCAGAGAGCCTGACGTGGGACTCAATCCAGGGTCTCCAGGATCACGCCCTGGGCTGCAGGCGGCGCTAAACCGCTGCGCCACCGGGGCTGCCGTATTCTCTGCATTTCCAAACCATGAAATAAATGGGTTCTGACATGTGGAGAGAATAGATATTTGTATGTTTGCAATGTGTGTTTTAGATAAATAGAATTGGGTATTTAAATTAGCATATTTGTGAATTTAATAGCATTAAGATTTGCCTTCAAATGAAAAAAAAAATCTCAAAATTCAAAAAAAGAGAAAAAGATCTTATTGATGTATTTGACAGCCAGAAGCCTGCAGTACTGGCCCCAGCCATCCAAATCATCATGTTTGGTAGGAGTGAGAATAGTTCTTAAATCCCATTTATCTATAAAGCTTCCTCACCCGAATTCCTTATACTCAACATCTCCTAGCTAAACTGATGGGTTTTGCATAATATTATAAGTTTACATAAATGACAAAAATATTATTGCCACACAAATAAAATTTTATTCACCACAATCCAATCTTGAGAGAGTATCTCCGTAGCGCTCCCAAAACACAGCGTTAAGATAAGTGAAGGGAGGAGAAGCCTTCATGCCAAGTTGAGAATCATTTCCCAGCCCCCTTCCCCTCTCATCCTATTTCCTTCCCATTGATAGCTTTGCTTTTCTTATCTCTCCTGTGGAACTCATTGATGCAACATCTTTGCACAGCCCCATCCAGGAAGAAGCTCTGTGATGCGTGAGTCGTGAGTTTGCTCAAGCAAGTCAGACCCTTCCCACGGAATAACTAGACCTGAGGACTAGGATGGAAGAGCTGGCACCAGTAGAAGGCCATGGCCAGCTCCCAAGCCCCCACCAGGGGTCTCTCAGGAAGGCCGTGGCTGCTGCCCTGGCCCTGGATGGGGAATCCACGATGGGTCGCAGGAAAAAGAAGAGGAAAGAGTCCCGCCCAGAATCTATCATCATCTACCGGTCAGAAAATGACAAACTGGAGGAGGAGCCCGGGGAACTAGAAGGTGGAGACCAGCCTAAAGAAGAGGAGGGAGATGATTTCCTAGACTATCCTGCGGATGATGGTAAGTCTCTGGGGCCACTTACTTTAAACCACGGGAAGGAATGAGGATTCTCCAGAAGACAGGGATTTGCTCACTCACCTCTTTTGTCTTGTTGATACATTTCTTCTTGCGATGTTACAGTCTTCGTTCAACAAATCGGCAGTATTTATTAAGCATTTATAATGTTCTCTTCTCAGTGATGTGGAGATCTCTGTCCTTTCTGAACTCTTAGTGTAATAGAACAGACCGATTCATACACAAAAATTAGTAATACAAGTAGACTATGCTAATTAATTATTGATTTTTAAGACTATCTAATTATTTAATACATATAAGATAAAGAAGCTAATAGTGGGCTTTTATAATAATCAGGAAAATGCAAATTGTAACAGCCGTGGGTTATAATATTCCTCCACATGAAGGCTGACCAAAAATTGGGTAAACTTAGGATAACATCAGTGTGAGAAAATATAACTCAAGTGAAATGGGATCTGTTTTACCTACTTTGTAGGGAAATTTATTGATATTTATTAAATTCAAACTGTGTGTATCTTGTGTTCTAGAAATTCTCAGAATCTACCCCATGAAACTTATGCTCATGGGCATAAGGATGCATGTATAAAAACATCTGTTGCTAATGAAGCCATGGAGTGTCCGGATTAAGCATCACCGTGCAGCAATAGATGGATGGGGTAGATCTATTTGTGTAGATGAACTGATCTCTAAGGCATAGGCCCACAGTGGACAAGACAAGCAATGTCCCTGCTCTTGTGCAGTTTACCTTTTAATCAAGGGAAGACAGTGAACAGGGCAGTAAATACAAGGTAATTTCAGGTAGTGGTATGAGTTGCAAAGACAATAAACCATGGTGATGGGAAGAGAACTGGTGAAGGGTGTGGGGGAAGAGACTGCATGGCCATACGAAGACCTCTGGGAAGTGACGCTTGAGCTCATTCAGATGAAATGAAAGACCAGCCATGAAATGCTCTTGGGCAGAGCTTTTAGAGGAGAGGGAGCAGCAGGGGCAAAGATCCTAAGATGGAAGGTGTTGGGAAAATTGTACAACCCTTCTCCCTGTGTAGTCAAAATCTCTGCCACTCTCCTGAGCCCTGCTCTTTAGGTGGGTCCATTCTATTCCTCTTCCAGTCATGGAGCAAGGAACCTAGCCTATCTATAATCTCCCCCACCTCCACTTCTAGACTACATTTCACCTACCAAGGGACACAGACTTCTGTGTTTTAATATCTCCAATCTCACTCTAGGATGGCCAAAAGATGGCCATTTGATGGTGATAGTGGTGGTGGTGTGTGGGTATGTGTATATGGAGGGTGTACACGTGTGATATGTGTGGTGCATGTGTCCAGAGCTTGGACATGAGGTCTGAGATGTCCACAGGCATGAGGAAGCCTCCTCTCATGGAAGCATAAGTACAGGGATAAGCAGGGAAGAGGAGTGCACTGTCCAGCACTATGATATGCACACAGCACAATCTTCACACACACTAGTGGATATTCATGTACCTATAAACTAGAAATAAGATTATTATAAAGTGGTGTCTGTGGCAAAATTCCTCATACCCTTCCATATCACAGAGATCATGCCAAGATTGAGGCCCAGAAAGTGGAGAGAGAAGTTAAAAAGCACCAACTTTCTTTGCAGTTTTTTCAGAGTCCATGTGTGTGGAGTGAGAGTTCCCTGGGGCAAGTAATAATACCAATAATCACCTTCCTGAGGGAGATCCACTCCATCCGTGCCTGAGTAATTGACTCTAGGACTGTGCCAGGTGCTATAAAAACAGGAACTGTTGGGGGGGCCTGGGTGGCTCAGTTGGTTAAGCATCTGCCTTTGGCTCAGGTCCTAGGATCGAGTCCTAAGTCCTGAGTCAGGCTCCTTGCTCAACAGGGAGTCTGCCTTTCCCTCTCCCTCTGCTTGCTACTCCGCCTGCTTGTGGTCTCTTTTTGTGACAAATAAATAAAATAAATACAATCTTTAAAAACAAAAAGCCTTTAAAAAATAAAAATTAAAAAAAAAATAAAAACAAAAAGCCCTAGGAATTGTTGTATTCAGCCCCCAGCTCAAGTGATGACACTGTGGTGAAATGTCCACATTCTTTTATTTATTTATTTATTTATTTATTTATTTATTTATTTATTCATTTATTTATTTATTTTTATTTTTATTTATTTTTTATTTTTATTTTTATTTTTATTTATTTTTTTATGTTTATTTTTATTTTTATTTTTTTTAAATGTCCACATTCTGACCTTGACTTCACCTCCTTGATCTTCAGGTATGTGGAACATGCCCATGGACAGCCGCTATGTCACATTAACTGGGACCATCACACGAGGAAAGAAAAAGGGCCAGATGGTGGACATCCATGTCACACTGACGGAGAAGGAGCTGCAAGAATTGACCAAACCTCAAGGGTCATCGAGGGAGATAACACCTGAAGACAGAAAGGCCTGCCAAATGGGAGCAGACCGTGGGCCACATGTGGTCCTCTGGACGCTGGTCTGTCTGCCTGTGGTCTTTATCCTCTCTTTTGTTGTCTCTTTCTACTATGGCACTATCACCTGGTACAACATCTTCCTTGTGTACAACGAGGAGAGGACCTTCTGGCACAAGATCTCGTGTTGCCCTTGCCTCATTCTCTTCTATCCAGTGCTCATCATGGCCATGGCCTCTTCCCTGGGCCTCTATGCCGCTGTGGTCCAGCTCTCATGGTCCTGGGGAGCATGGTGGCAAGCTGCCCGGGACATGGAGAAGGGCTTCTGCGGTTGGCTCTGCAGCAAGCTAGGTCTGGAGGACTGTTCTCCCTACAGCATTGTAGAGTTGCTTGAATCTGACAATATTTCAGGCAATCTCTCCAACAAGGACCCTATCCAGGAAGTAGAAACTTCCACTGTCTAAACTTCCAACATCGTATGTTCTTCTCTCGTCCCAGTAGCCTATATGCTGTCTTCCAATTGCAGAAGATTCTTTCTTTAAATTAGCCCCCTACCTCTCACAATTCTGGAAAATTGTAGCCCACATTCTTCGGTTCTACCATCTTGGTGGTTCCAGGAGCGCAGGGAACAGAAAAGCAATTTATGCCAAAGCTGTCTATCCATGGATGAATTCTCATTTCCTGCCCTAAAATGACCATTGATCTGGGACAAGGAGCTCAGTTCTAAGTTCAGGAGTTTGAAGATGTTACTGGTGCCTGGAAACCAGGGGAGTATGTGACTAAATGTGACAGGGGAAAAGGGAGACTCCAGGAAGACCAAGTTCACCAAAAAGATAATAAGTAGGATGGAGAGAAACACTTAGGACAGGGCTACCACAGTGCAGCAGGATGTGAAGATTTTTGTGGATTACTTAGATTTTAATATAGTGGCATGTAATGCAAATTCTAAAATATCAGTGGTTTAAACAGGATAGAAGTTTCATTCTTTCTTGTGCAGAAGTCTGGAGGCCGACCATGCGGGTACCTGACCAAGTCATCCAAATCCCAGGCTTTACTCCCCTACCATTAGGATGTAGCCCTTCGTCCTTGTAAGGAGACTTCGGGGAAGTCTCACTCAACACTTCCTATCTTTCATTGGCCAGGCCTTGGTCACATGACCTCACAGGCGAAAGAGGCTGGGAAATGTAGTCTTTTAGTTGGGCAGCTATAGTCTACGCAAAATATTTGGGTTCTGCTAATTTAAGCAAAAAAAGGAAACATGGCTATTTTGGTAGGCAAAAAAGAGTCTCTGCCTCCTGGTAATTATTTAAATATATTCAGATCCCAAACTGCTAATATAGTTGTATTTATTTATTTATTTATTTATTTAGGACTGAATGTTACATAGAGAATTTATACATAGACACTAGCTACATATACTGTGTATATGCTACCAATAGATGTTAGCAGCTCTTGTACTTTGCAATTAGTCTGTAATGTCATGTGGTTTCAGGGTTTTTAGAAAGGAAGAGTGAAGAGTTGGAATATAATTAGTAGCATAACTTTTTCCCTGGTAGTGAAGGCAGGACTGGGGAATGATAGTTAATATAATCTACATATTAAAGACTGTGGAGGGAGGGCTTGCAAACTTCACCCAACAGGTTTCAGTAGCCCTAAGTGCTCAAAGACAGGATTAGCCTTCTGTTGTTTGGCAAGACCTCACAGCCTCACTCACTCAGACCCTGCTGGAATATCTTGGCTGTGCTGTGAAACTTGTGTCCTCCTGGCCACTAAGGGGTGTACACCAGATGAATCTAGATTCATAGAATCTGAACTTTTTTTTCTATTTAAATTTATTCCAGAGGCTAATTTCAAAAAAAATCAAATCCCAAGAGATGAAGTGGTTTTTTTTTGTTTGTTTTTTTTTTTTTTCAGGTTTGGGTCTTTACAAGAACAGCTGATGCCCATTTCTTGTTCATGTCTCAGGAAGAAGCTGTGTTAAGAACTGTGAATCAAACCAGATGGGTCAATAGTGTTCTCCCACCGAAGGACAGGGACATTTACCTAAAGTATGTTGAACATCATTTTCAGAAGAACGCCCTTTAAAAACAACAACAACAACTATTATTAGTTTCACACAAAACAAAACTGCCCAGCATTTTTGAAAGTAACCTTGGTGCTCTCTGGTGCTTTTGCAAAAATGTAAACAATTGAAACGAAGACAAAGAAAATAAAAATAAAATTGAATTAACGTTCGCATGGTCTTTGAATTTCTCCAAAGTTGCTTTGAGTGCTACAATTTGCAGAAAAAGGTGAGTGTGGTGGCTGACCTATGTACGTATAACGATCTTAATATGGATCCTTAGGTCTTGACTCTTTCCACGTACAACTTATTTATGGAGATTCCTTTTAGGTGGACTGTTTCCACAGACTACATAGTTACCTATAACCTAATGTGATGTTGCAACTGCATGTCACGTTTTTTCCTGGAATTAGGGAAACCAGTGGTCAAGGCCAAAAATAATCATAATTAAGATTAAAATATGGGGCCCGTGGTAGAATGGAGGAGGATGGGGTGAAGGTGGAGCCCAAGGGATATTGAAATGAAGTGGACATGGCCCTCATCCTAGTTAGGCTCACAACCTAGAGGAAGAAACTGAAATCATTTCAGAAGGGCTCTAAGAAGGTATGTAAAAGCCCAGAAGCAGGAAAACTTAACCACTTACCTACTGACATTGAGCAACACCTTCATAGTGATTCAAGTCCAAGGGGGAATAAACCCTTTATTCTCCAGGATTTTCAGTAAAACAAGATGCTAAATCTTAAACAGTTTAGATAACCTGAAAGTTTCACTGTGGCCTCGATGGCCACCCCAAACTTCAGTTTTGCAGTGTTCCAAATGCTTAGTGGCTAACATCATTTCCCTTGCCCCCACCCTCTGCCCTTGAGACGCAAACAAGCAGAGGTACTAGAATCTCTTCTATTTCTCCCAGGAAACAAACCTGCCCTGGAGGAGGTGAGTGTGAGAGAGTGGGGAAGAGGGAGAGACAAGAGGGATAAAGGAGAGAGGGGCAGGGGGAGAGAAATGCATACAAGCACTGAAATGGTTGACACAAAATGACAAACCTTTCAGAATCTCTAAAAGTTCAAGAAAGAGTTTTATTCAAGCCAAAGCTCGGACAGCTGCCAGGGAAATGCACTCTTCACAGGGCAGAAAATGATGTGGAAAATAAACAGTTACAGGGCTGGTACCTTTTTCACTGAGATTATAGATTAGCATATAGGCAGGAATCCTGAGTTTTAGCATAAAGGGATGTGAGGAACAGGATTATTGATCAGTAACTCCAGGAAGGACAAGATAGTTTTCTTTCATCATTCGCAAAGATGTGCAATGCCCGTGTGGCAGCCCATAACCAAGCTTTGGGTCTGAATGAGGGTTACATACAGTTGATGAGGGAGCAGGAGGCCAGCTGAGGACAAAGCACAAGCTGACACCCCACTCCCAGGTGGGATAAGTGTGACCTTCCTCAGGCACTCCTGGCTGCCCCAAAACTAAGGGAAAGGAAAAACAAATGGTTAAAAGAGTTCACAGTCTAGTGGGATGGGAATCTCCCTCAGTTTACACATCTCTTGATTTACTAGAAAAATCATTCTTGGGATCCCTGGGTGGCGCAGCCGTTTGGCGCCTGCCTTTGGCCCAGGGCGCGATCCTGGAGACCCGGGATCGAATCCCACATTGGGCTCCCGGTGCATGGAGCCTGCTTCTCCCTCTGCCTGTGTCTCTGCCTCTCTCTCTCTCTCTCTGTGACTGTCATAAATAAATTAAAAAAAAAATTAAAAAAATTAAAAAAAAAAAAGAAAAATCATTCTTATCAAGAGCCTAACTTCCAGGGACCCATAGACTTAATTTCCTGGAGCCCTAACATCACCCAGACATCCACATTGATGTGGGAAACAAAGGTAGAAGGGAATGTAAATAAAATTTCCTTATAACCTGCAGCCCATTAACCAGGGCTTGTGATAGGCAGACTATAACATTCCTCCAGGAAACTCCCGACCGTCCTACTGTTTTGCTTTACTAAAGGGAAAAACAATCTTAACTTGACAATGGCAAGGCCTCCAATATCTTATAGGTCCTCTTTAGCATAAGAATGTTCTTTAGAAAAACTCCCTTTTCCAATGTCCCCCAACTCCCAAGTATATACTTTTTCAAGATTTTATTTATTCATTCACGAGAGACAGAGAGAGAGGCAGAGACATAAGCAGAGGGAGAAGGAGGCTCCATGCAGGGAGCCCGATGCAGGTCTCGATCCCGGGACTCTGGGATCATGCCCTGAGCCGCAGGCAGAGGCTCAACCGCTGGGCCACCCAGGTGTCCCTCCCAAGGGGATGGGATATATAATTGATGAAATTTTGGAATATAAGTAAGTTTGGTGGGGTGTGGTCTGGAGCCAAGACCAAGAAAGAATTCTTGAGAGGTCTTTGGTGCAAAATGGTGGTTTTATTAAAGCATGAGTGCAGGACCCATGGGCAGAAACAGCTGCTGCCCCGGGCCTGTGAGGAGTGGTTAATTATATACCTGGGAGTTGGGAAGGGTTTGGGGATAGCCCACTCTCTAAGGAATTCTGGAAGCAAGGTTTCCAGGACCTTGAGGTGGCTAGTTATTGGTGGGAAAAGGTCACTTATTACCATCTAATAAAACCTTAATCATGAGACCTTTCAGATGTATACCCATGGGCCAACTCGTATCTTGGAGATTTAGAGATAATTTCTAATGTAATTTTTTTTTTAAGATTTTACGTATTTATTCATGAGAGACACAGAGAGAGGCAGAAACACAGGCAGAGGGAGAAGCAGGCTCCCTACCCCCAGGGAACCCAATGTGGGACTAGATCCCAGGACTCTGGGATCACAACCTGGGCCAAAGGCAGATGCTCCACCACTGAGCCTCCCAGGTGCTCTAAAGGAAATTTTATATGTTCAAATAGACTCACAGGATCCTGGGGGTTGGGCTAAGATTGCCTTTTGCCCTTAGCAAAGTATGAACCTTGAGGCAGAGGCAGTCGAGTCAGCCAGCAGAGGAATGTCCCTCTGCCTATTTCAAACACTTGTCAATGTACTGCCCCAGGCTTGTGCTTTGTCCTGTTAGCCCTGCTCCCCCATCATTTGCCTCCTGAACAATTCTGACCCTTAAATCTTTAAGGTTGTTGAAGGTGGAAGGTCTCCTCTTCTGTAACTTTTTCCTACCGAGTAGGGGTGTAGAGAGGTCCCTACCCATGGGTTAATATTGGTCAGTTGGGGAAGGTATGGGGGAGTTATGAAAGGTGGAGACAGCTGAATCCAACAAGGACAACACATGAACCTCCTTGGGTAGAAAGGATCATCTGTCAGCTGGAAGTTATGGCAGTGGAGTATTCGCAGTAGGCAGGGAGACACCAGAAACAACAAAATAAGGTTAATATTATAATGAGAAAGTAAAGACCTTTGACATCAACCTTTGATAATTTTCCTCCAGTCCAGGAGTTTAAAGCAATCACTAAAGAGAGGTTGTTTAAAGCACCAATTTGAGTATTCATGTCAGATAGACACTCAGAAATATTTCTGTGGTCATTTGGAATGTATACACAGCATTGTTTAGGATAGTGTAAGGTCTACCTTGTTCAACAGTTAAAATGACTAATGCCATTCTATTTTGTAAAAATGCTTCACACAGTTTTATTACTTTAGTATTTAATAGAGAAATTCTACACTGAGTGTTATTTAGGGCTTTGACCACGTACTTATTAAGAGGTTCCACATTCCAAACATTCTCTAGTCTTGAAGAGGGAACAAAGATGGATGCTAGGTGATTGTAACAATGAAACATAAAACATGTCCACTGATTTGTTTTTTTTTTAATTTTATTTATTTATTCATGAGAGAGAGAGGCAGAGACACAGGAAGAAGGAGAAGCAGGCTCCATGCAGGGAGCCCGACGTGGGACTCGATCCCAGGTCTCCAGGATCAGGCCCTGGGCTGAAGGCAGGTGCTCAATCACCCAGGCTGCCCCATGTCCACTGTTTTAAATTTGGAAGTTTAGCTGGGTTGGTAATGGTAATAATGCATCTGTGTATCCAGGCAAAGCCCACAGGCCTATTGAAGTCTATTGTAGGCCTATTGAAGCCTTGGCCACAAATTAGAGTGGCATAGCCATTGGGTCACATTAGAAGACCATCATACAATTTGGCGCATCCAATGTGTCATCTAATCCAATCATAAAGAAAGGTCATCCATTATCTCTGTTAAGTCCATAGTTTACCCTAGAGTAGGGTATGTTCTGGCTTTTAGGGAACTGATTATCATCCCAGCCACAAAGAATTGGTTAGAGTGCTAGCTGGATTATACACTTGTTAGGGAATCAATCTCACTTTTCTTTAAAGCTGTTTAAATAATCATATGCTCATGGGGCCCTATTATCCCCACAGAGTAAGAAAAAGATTGTCTATACATGAGCTATTGAGGCAATTTCTCTTGGTTTACCTCAAGTTGACTAGGTTAGGTAAACAACACTTAAAGACAACCAGAACTAGAATTTTACAATCACAAAGGTGTGTTCTTGAAAATATAGTTTTTTCTCTTTAAAATAACCCTCATTTCCAGAGATAGTCAAATCTCTGGCCCTGGGCTGACGGTGGCACTAAACCGCTCAGCTACCCGGGGCTGCCCACATACTTTAAATACTGAATATACTTCACCTGGGCCCATTCTTAAAAGTCACTTTGTTTTTTTTTTTTTTTGTTTTGTTTTGTTTTTTTTAAATTTTTTTTTATTTATTTATGACAGTCACAGAGAGAGAAGGAGAGAGAGGCAGAGACATAGGCAGATGGAGAAGCAGGCTCCATGCACCGGGAGCCCGATGTGGGATTCGATCCCGGGTCTCCAGGATCGCGCCCTGGGCCAAAGGCAGGCGCCAAACCGCTGCGCCACCCAGGGATCCCCTTAAAAGTCACTTTGTTCCCCGTTGCCAATTTTTTACCTGAGACATTGGTGGGGAAATCTGGAGTGGACGGTGTTAACTCCACAGAGTGTTCTTCTTTGCTCCTTGAGAGTGAGGGTAGGAGCCAATGGTGCCAGAGGCACCAAGGATAGTATAGAAGCCAGTTTTGTAGGCTGCAGCCAAGGTGGTGCGGAAACAGGGTGAGGCAGAAGAGGTGAAGCGCTACCAGGAGGCAGAGAAAGGGTTCCCGGTTCCAGAGCTCATCAGTTCAACAG